TTTTTTTATATCCAACTCAACTATCTCTCTATTTTTCTCTTTATATAAATATATATACATACCCAACTGTCTCCCTATTTCTCTCTTTGAATCTCTCAATTTCAATCTTTCTCTATCTGATTGTGTGTGCGTATGCTTGTGTGTGTGCGTGTGCGGGTGTGTGTGCGTGTGCATCAGCACAAAATTGCACCTATTTCTAATGCCGTGAGTGCCTTTTCCACTGAAGCAAGCACCGAAATTGAATACAAAATCTTATTAGAGGCCACACTCATATCCAAGTAGATAGTATGCACGGTGTCATTGAGCGGCGGATGTAAATAAAACACACAAATATACAGCCCACTAGATTATGTTGCCATTTTCAGAACTGCAATTTTTATAATTATATCAACGAACCCGCGACACTTAAAAGGGTATAAGCGGCGGATAAAAGTAAAAATATCAACGAAGACCCTAAAACGTGAAATTTGTGGATCGCATTTTCTTCAGTTGCGGTGGGTAGTGAAGGGCTCACGGGCTTGAGCCCCTACCCCCTCCCCAACCACCACCCCCAACTCTATCCCAAAGTAAATGAAAGTTTCTCCATAATGAAATAAGCAGTTGAAACCGTTATGACCGCACGCAATGAACACAGAGTGATCAACCTGGCGGCTTGCTCGCTTATCCAATCACTGTTGTCCCCGCTTACAACTAGAGTAACCCAGCAGCCAATCAAATATCTTTAGGGCTCAGCAAAGATGAGCCCTTTTCCCACAGTCCGTCCTTAATGAAACTCTTCTTGTAAAAAGGTAGAAGACTGGGAAAAAATAACCCTGTACCGAGGGCTCACGCTCTCCTAGCCCTGGCAATGGGGTGAAAGTTTACGACACACTTTCCCCTACTGACACAGATACCTATGCGCTCATTGGTTCTTTGTTGGGTGCGTTCAACTTTCTCGACTACACGGCCCAATCCAATCCAGCTCATAGAAGTATTATGTTTGAAGTGCTGTGTGTGCATGTTTGTGTTTGTGCAGCTGAGATTTAACCCTTATAACTTTTTCATCACACGAAAACTAATTACAGGAAATTTGGAGGTGAATCGGTTTCGTCCCCACCATCAACAAGAATTTAACTAAGAACACAGAGATTGAAAACAAAGGCAACTCTTCTCGTTTGAATGGTTCTCAAACTGCCGTGGTTCACTGTGAGTAAAAAATCATCATTGTTTAATTCTTATTGCTTGCTATTTGGTGGTAAAAAACTGGAAGCAACCCAAGCCCCACCCAAATTTTGGGTCACCCACCGCCACTGATTTTCTTCCATGATTTTGTCAAAATTTCAGTTCACAAAACTGTCAGGTCGGGTAGACAAAAAGAAGACCAAACTGTTAATGCAATATGAAGCCACTGATATACATAACGAGGAATTCTTTGCAAACTGAATTCTAACGAAGAGTGAAGAGCTAGTCTTCTTAAGTCCAGAGTCAAGGAAAACTTAACAAACAATTCCACAACACTCTATCATTCTCCTTTAAGAATCGAAAAGGGTAACTTTCAGGATCTGAGAGACAAAAAAAATTAAGATAATGAAAGATGACCATTCAGTCATTCTCGGGGTATAGAAGTTTGATACACATACAAATCAAGCTCTCACCCCCCCCCCCTCCCAAAGCCCAATAAAAAAGGACATACACTTACACATAATTGGAGAAAGAAGGAAAGAAAGAGAGAGAGCACGCAAAAGAAGGAGTATGATTTCTTCATAAATTACATACAATATCCCAGTTGTGTAAGAATGAAAGATGTTTATAGTGGTAAAATAATGAATGGCTTTCTGTTTCACTCAGTCTGTAATTTCATACTCAGTTTTAAACTGGTCTTTTCAACATACTAGGGCCTCTAACAACAGTAAACACGCTGCCTAATAACCGAGAATACAACACCGCGTTTCATAAAGCCTCTGATGAAATCATGACCGCATCAGGCGAGATTCGAATATTATATGAAAATCGTGAATCCCACACTTTTTCTTTAAAAAATTACCATCTAAGGTAAAAAAGTTTACGACAGTATTATTTCTAAAAGGTAATTGACTAGATTGATCCATTTAGTTTTAATGTCTTGAACGCTAAATAATGACGGAAATCAGTGTTTTCCCTCTCCTGAATTCACGATTTCATCAGGCAACGGATGATAAGAAATCAGAATCGCAAAGATGATATGAAGTAAATGTTGGCAACACAAATAAATACATAAAAATTTCAAAACAATGGTTAATACAAAATATCTTTAATGATTTTTCAAGTCTATACACAGGGTACATAAGGCAAATCGCTTTGGGCAATAAGTAGCAATAGGAAAGAATCACATCTTATACATAATTATTTGTATATGTGTGTCATCGTGGTGAAATCAGGCTCTCGTCAAACTGATGAAAGCAAAGAAACTGGCATTTTCCTAACCATTAAGCAATTTTTACTATTTAAAAACAAATCTTTGCCCCCACACTTTTTACTTTTAAGTCTATTTAAAAACACATTACAGTATGGATTTTACTGAGGAAGAAAAAAAAAAGGAAATTTGCTGTTTCCAAAGATGTTCAAGCTTTGGAAGCAGCACATTTTGCAGTCATATTCTTCGTTATGTTACCTCTGTCAAAGGTGACGCCACCTCCTTCAATCACAAAAAATCTTGACTTCTAACCATGATAGATGAGTTGTGTTTTTTTCATCACAAGCAAGACTAATTAACAAGCTTTAAAATGATACCAATGATTCACTCCTCGTGCCAAAGTACTGACGAGAGCCTGAAAATACCATGTCATGACTCATATAATATTATGGATTATTAATTACAACGTAGGCCATTAGTTCCACAAAGTGAAGTATCTCAAGAACTTTACAGTAGACTATACTGCACTTTCTACTGTTCTGAGCTTAGTTGATTTTTTTATAATCAAGTAAGCTTAGATCGTACTAATTTAAAGAAGATCTCTTCCATAACTTGCGCTGAAAGAAAACAGATCCTTTGTTCAGAAACAGGAATGTTAGTTTGAATTTCAGAAATGACAACAACAGCATAAAAAACAGGGCCGACTTGCTAGATTTCTTTATCTGTTTCATATAAGACTGACTTAGATAAGTTCACCATCCAAACTATAATAAAATAGTCTGAACAGATATTCATTGTCACTACCATCAGGCACCAACTCAAATTTAGGAATATCGAACAACTGTCACAACAACATTCCTTTATAGATGTAGATGGTAGGCATGTTAGATCTAGATAAATTTGGTAAGCCTTGAAAAACAAAAAGACGAGGCAATTTACTTCTCTCACTCTAGAACTATGAAGAAGAAAAAATGTCGGAAATTTACTGGATTCAATATTGACTTAGAACATGATAAGTAAATTTGATTTCACTCCACAAAACTTTGTAACGTACTCAGATGGTGGGCCTCCTAAGACCTTCTAATAGAACACCCACACCTGAATCTGTACCGTTAGTCAATATTATAAACACTGAGGAAACACACAGCCATGAGGAAAGATCTCTTCCAAATGCACTCAAGCCTTATACATCGACAAGAAACAAAACTACAAAGGAGGAGAAACAGGATAATAAATAATAATAGTGGTATTCATATAGTGCATGTCCACGCTCTGCAGCATGCTCAATGCATTTTACAACTATTATTACCCCCAGCAGACCCTAGAACACAACTCAGGAACATTCTCGGCTTCCCTGGAAGCATACAGCGCAAGCTGCAGATTACATGCACAAAAACACTAACAAATCACAAGATGTTTCAGCATCTATAGCTGGGTACCCACTCCTACCTGGGTGAAGTGAGAAATATTTGTGTTGAGTGCCATTCCCAAGAACTCAATGTCGGACCCTTGACAGAATTTGAACCTGTTACCTTATGCTTGAGAGTGCAAGTGCCTTGCTAACTAGACATCAAGGCCATAACATAGACAATGGAGTACAGAAAAGAGGAACAGCAACAATTTGAGGTGGAAGGTTTCTATCACTGTGAGGTGGAATGTTTCTATCACTGTGAGGTGGAATGTTTCTATCACTGTGAGGAGAGAGCACTAAATATTTGAAGCATCATGATGAAATCAGGCGCTCGTCAAAATAATGAAATTAAAGATACTGGCATTTTTTGCTGGTTTGGCAGTTTTTATCGAAATTTTGTTTTTTTGGCTCAACACCTTTTAATTATGTCCATTTAAGAACCCATTTCTGTGTAGATTTTACGGAAAAATCGTTTATTAAAGGCACAAAAAATGTAAATTGTCGTTTTCCACAGATTCTCAGGCTACGTAATAACCAACCTTTGGCACCTATTTTCTCTCTAATTTTAAAACTGAAACCAGGCGACCCCTCCTCTTTCCATCGCAAATATCCCGACTTGTATTCAAGATAAATGGGCATTTCCTTCATCAAATGCAAGACAAATGAACAAGCTTTAAGGTGATACCAATTACTCTACATGGCCAAAAATTGACGAGCGCCTGATTCTACCGTATCGTGACACATATTGTACAGTCATCTGTCACACAAGAGGAAAAAAAGTCACACACATTTTTTAACGTAAACAAGGTGCAGCAATTCAACATGTAAACCATTCCCTCATCTCTCTCTCCGTTTAGACATCACACACACACACACACAAACACACACACACACACACACACATGCACACACACACACGCACAAGCTACATAAAAGGACTGGTGGGATGAGCAAATTGATTACCAATCATTCATCACAATCGGTAACCATGGTAGCAAAATGCTTAGCTACAAACCATTCACATTGAATCAATCACATAATAATTTGCATATATATGCTTGTAGACTTGCAGTTTTAAAAAAAAAGGGGGGAAAGTGTTTCGCGTAGAGAACTTGACCACAACTTTTATAATTGTGTAACAAACTCCAATCAGTAATAACAGCTTATCTTTGCTTAATATACATGTTCTGGGTTGTTCTTTTCCAAGAATACCTGATATTTTTTTTTAAAAAGGGAACAATAGTTTATCTTTTCAACTATTATTTGTTTACATATTTTTTTATATTCGTGGGAAACATAAAGACAAATTGTTTGACAATATAAAAAAGGTAAAAAATGGTTCCTTTTGACAAAGTGCCATGACACAAAAGGTAGATTAGAGCTAACTAATTTTGACAAAAAGTTCCATGTCAAGCATTTGATATACGGTATGACATCTTTTAAAGTTTGTTTCGCCAACAGCTTCTAGTGTTGACAATGCTGAAATCTTTTCTTCCGTCATAGTCTATACACAGGACATTGCTGATAAAAGTTTTTAAAAATAAATGTCAATGACTTGTCTGGGCCCCTGAAGTGACATTATTGTCAGAATTATATTAGCCTATACTATCACAAACTTGATTAGAAAGGTCTAACAACACTCTCAGTAAGAACACAATTCACACAAAATCTATTTTTACTGCGATTTACACCAGGAATTTTTTTTTTTGCACTTTTAAGAGTGATAACAAACAAAAAGTCCCCATCTGCAAACAATATTGACCAACATTGGTTCCCAAAAAGATAAAAAAGTTTCGCCGACAAACTGATGTTTCACAATTAGAGGCTGCATAAATTATCAGTTAATTTTTTCCATCCTTTGTCTACTACAAAAGTCTTGATGGAGGTGGACAGAAAAGTGTTTTCATCCCTTGGAAAGTTCACAGCAGTGCCAACAGCCACAGCACCCATTCACGTAGAAATTAAAGTAGTCTCAATCTTGAACTAAATCTGAAATGAAAGGCAAAAAAAAACCCACAACTGCACATACATATCTAAAAGCACAAGTGAATTTCTTTTTAATTGTAAATTGAAAGTCAATATCATTCATTCTTTTGATATGAATCACCAAAAAAGAAACTCATTGAAAAAGAAAGTCAAAATGCAATAACATCATCAAAAGACAGCTCGCGTCCTGTCGCTCTTGCACCATCAGTGCAATCTTATTCTTCTTCAGGTGTCAAATTTGGAGCAGAAATTGACAGTCCTTCCTGCTGTTAGTCGAGTCCTTCTGATTAGACCATTGTTCTTCTGATTGTGCTGTTTGCCGTACAGCTAATTAGGCCATCTGTGTATGTTGTTCCCTGTCTTTCTCTGCTCTTTTTTCCATTTACCACTTTTTGATACATCTCTGGTTTCCATCAAGACCTCTCCTCCTTTAAATTTTAAACATCCTGTTTTGAGTCAACATTTCTTTCCCAACACAACTTAATCCTTTTGGTGCATAAATTTGCTATTTTTGATCGTTTTATTTTCTATTTCTTCACATTGAAAATGTATCCATCTGTCTGTGGCTTCATTGCATTTCTTTTTCACCTATCAATCTCTTTCCCTATATTTCTTTTCAAGTACCAAGTATTACTGGAGTTATCTACTTTTTGTATTTTTCCCATTAGGTGATGGATATGTGTGCATCGGCTGCTTTTTGAAGATTTCCTTCCATTTTTTTCCACTTTTCTTCTGTATTTATCCGATTTTCAAGCAACTCAAACTCATCCTCGACCTCTAAAGGTTATTTTATCTGCATTTTTTTCATCAGTATACAAAAGGTCTAGCTGTAATTTTAGTAGTCTTTTGCTCTTCTATACATTTTTTTAGTTTGAGTTTCACTCTTTCCACAACAGGCATGTGATCATTTCCATAATCTGCTCTTGGTATCGTCTTACGTGATGTCATTAAAATCCTAAAGCATTCTAGCATAAACGTGTGTAGTTTACTTGGTTTCTCACTTTGGCCCCAGGTCTCTTCCATGTTTAACATCATCTTCTTGAGCAGGCTCTTCAAACAAGTTTCATCACAGCAAGTTGTGTTCTTTGCACTATTCTACAAGCTTCTCATCTCTTTCATGACATCACCAATTCTGAGCATTTGAAAGTGCTCTCAATTCTTCTTTTTCCAGTTTTCCATTGAATTGAAAAGAACAAGAAAAATGCTATACATTACCTACAAATAAAAAAAGATGGATAGTAAAATTATACTGTCACTTCAAATATATAGCATCAGTTTTAGGGGGCAGAGTCTGCCCCCAATCTTACCAACAAATTGGCCTGTACGTGAATAAATACAGAAGCAAATATTCATAATCCACCCTGCTACCCCATCCATAAAAATGAGATGATATGAAAGTCAGTTCCTAAATAGTACTGTTTATGTCCATTAACACTGATGGAGTATTAACTTCTGTCTGGTAAAAAGAAATGAAAGTAAGCTTTGTAACACGTAAGCGAGAATGTTTAAAATACTTACATGTCTTCTTGGTTTTCATGTATTTTTTGTAGCTGTAACACAGAGAAAAAAGAGCACAATGTAAGTTAAAGATAATAAAAATATTGAAACAGTTGATTTTACAAACCTTTTCAAAGTATGATTTTGAAAGAAGAAAACAGAATAGATAGATATAGCCTTTCATCCCGCTATATAAAATATTTACCACAGATCAAACAATAAAAAAAGGGTAAAAAAATTGTAAAGGTTGACACAGAAAAACAACAACACACGAATGAAAAAATGGTTAAAAAGTAGCAAATATATCACTCTAACAGATTGCTCTTGAACAAGCTGCCACTTTATTTTTCATTTCTTTTTTTGTGTGTAAATCTTGCAATGAAAATAAATATTAGTTGTATTTATATCAACTTACTAATTTGGCAATGTCTACCTCAAGCTACTTTTCTAGCTATAATCTCCAATACCTTTCACCTCAAAGTTCATATATTATTATTATTTTTCTAACATTTCCCTTCCGCAAAATATAAACAAGCATGTTCAAGGAAATAACCTCTCATTTATCAACCACCACCTTCTTTTGTCTACTATTTCATCAAATTCTTCTTCTTTTTCCTACTTCTTCTTCTCAAACTCCGTCTCTTTTAGTGCTCACCTGTTAGATCTCAAGAGCAGTCAGCTGCAATTTCTTCAACCCAACAACAACTGACTGATATACACTGTCCTATTTTTTCATTTGTATGTCCTTGCGTGCCAAAGTACTGTTATCAATTATCTATACCCACCAAAATTACATCAGCTTTTCAGAAAGGAATAATTTTTACTTGAGACCTTGAATTTGAAATTGCCAGAGTGTTTTTAACATACTGATGGTGTTACACATGTAACTGAAAGAAAGAACTCTTGGTAACTTATTTTCTTCCTACAACCAATGCCCAGATTGATTTGCCGGTCGTCCAAAACAAACTACTAAATTGGTGCACACCAATAATCAGACCAGTCACCTCAGATGAGAGAAGATTTTTTAGAAGTCCAACAATAACTCCCTTATACTTTCAAAAGCTAATTACCGAGTTGAAATCAAAGCACTGCATGGGTCAATAGAATTGATTTGGCAAAAATCCAAACTTTTAAAAGGATTGGTACACTGTGCACAGATTTTGGGACATATTCTAAGAAGGCCTTGGCTTTGCTAAGGCGTGATTGTTACACAAGCTCAAAGACACACAGAAACATACTTGTGCACATATATAAATATACACGACATACACATACATACACATATACACACACCCAAATACAACAAACAAGCCCCCAAACACACACGCATACCCACGCATACACACACACGTGCGTGCACAAACACACATGCACCCACACGCACGCACGCACACACATGCGCGCACATACACGCACACACATACACACGCGTACACACACACACACACACACAGACACAAATCCCTTAGAGTTACTTACTTTTTGTACAGCACGATGGCCAGAATGATGAGGATGACACAGCAGATAAACATAAAGATGGCCACGGCCACCAAGACCCACCACAGGTCCCTCCACTTCAGCTCATCTTCCGATGACTTGGACGGGTAGCATTGCTGTTCAAGACAAAAGAGTGATTGTGATAAAACGAGAACAAGAAGACTCTTTATATCAAAATAGTACATAGTTTTCCTAACAAGAAAAATAACGAACATATCACTGAATTATATTTCCCTCTTTTAAATCAGTTACAACGAAGAGGTAATTTCAGCAGTGGTAAGCGCTGCGGTGTAAAATAATACTTAGAAAATGAATTAAACACAAGCGCCCCCCCCCCCCCCCCCTCCCACCAAAATAAAACCTGATGAAAAAAGATAATGATTTGATTCTCACTATAAGACTATGATTATTATAATAATAATAATAATTATTATTATTATTATTATTATTATTATAAGCAGTATGAGTGAAGTATCAATGGTTATTCAGACTCTGGTAAAATATGAACAAATTTTCATCGGAGCACACAAAGACTTAGGTTTAGAACGTACCCCTCGGTCAATGTATTTGTACGTGGCATTCTTCAGCACATCACTGAAACCCTTCTGCTCCATCAGGTCCACAACCTGGCGGATGTTCAGGATGGTCTTACTGTCAACGTCTGAGGCCAAGAAGCAAACGTCCGTCCTGCAACAACAGCAACAATAAAACAGTACGGATGAGACTCGTAGACACTGAATTGTAATACGAAAAAATTATGGCCAAAAACTCGTAAGATAACACTGAGCCAGTCACTCACCGAAAGGAAAACAAAATATGAAGAACTTGTCCTCTTTCTTCGAGTGTCCATCAGTATCGATGATGACTACAGTAAAGAGTCATAAAATTCTACTGCAACACCTGAACTCAGAACACAGGCTCAAAGGCCATTCAAGGTAATGAAACCATCACTTACAAGCTAGCTAAACAGAAACCTTACAAATTAGAGCTTGTCATCCCCAATCCTCCCCACCCCCTAAAAAAAAAAGAGAGAAAAAGATCAAGAGGAAGTCGGGCAACATACCTGGCAGTGTTTGAACCAGACTGTGATCTGTGTTCCGAGACACTAAGGAACTGCAAAGTATACCTTGGTGAGACAGCACTCAGACCACTGAAAAAGAAACCACAATGAAAGAATAAGCTCTGGACGATCAGCACAAGACAATACACTTGATTTTCCTTGTAGATATTCCATGTGAAGGAAAGAACAATGAACATCACTATCCATTTTAATAAATGCAACATTTCAGAGCCAGACTCCACAGAAAAAAAACAAAAACTCAGTACATAAATAGTAATACAGACCTTTAATTCACAATAATCAAATGCCAGTAACAATAGAAGACCGGATACACATCGTCGGCTCGCTGTTCAAATTATGTACTGAGCTCAAAATTTTGAATTGCTCTTTCAATTACACTTTCGTAATCTGTGATAACGGTAGCATGTGCTCTTAAAATGATTTGTTCAAATTCAAATCCTAAACATTAGAAGAAAACAAAGAAAAATACATAATGCAGATACAATTAATCATTAAAAGAATGAAACCGTTTGTTCTCTCTCATTCGTACATTTCAACTGCTTGCTAACAAAATGTGGGTCAGAGAGAGGGAGGGCGCAAAAGGGACCTTCTTTTACTTCATTTGATTTCAACAAATTTTATTTGAGTAGAAACATAGCATAATGAGTCGTTTGTGGCAATCGGGTTGTTTTGTTTAGATATATCGGGTAAAAGCTTGGTTTTCTATAAACTATGTATGACTGTGTGTCTCCCCGACTTCAGATGATTATAATTCTAGAAGACTAATACTGTTTTCACCCACTTGTAGGGCTTGAAAAAAATCTGAAATCTGATAAGAGTAATGTTATGTCATCAAAAGGCAACATGAGACCAATTATGTCATGTTGCTACACATTTCACTTTTAAGTATTTTGTACACTTTCTATACCGGTACAGAGTGAATTTTGCATTCCCAGTTGCAAGGACCCTTACTAGCATATTATGAAGAACACCATTTAATACAACTTACTTAATCAAAACCAAATGTCCTCTTATACAAAATTAAATACATTGGGGGGGGGGGGGGGGGGGGGGAGACCTCCAGTGGATAAATGAGTAGTGAGTTTAGAGGTATGTTTGCCATAGTAAAACAATTTGCCCTTCCTCCATCAATAACATTTTTAAAATTTATTTATTTTCTTATACTATTCATGACAATAAACATGCAAGATTCCTATTTTCATTCCACTTCATCAGACACATATTTATCGTCTTTGCACAAATTCTAGAAAGCTGACCTCTAGTGCAATAAATTCTAATACAATAAAAACAGTAAACTGATCAAAATAAAAACCTTGATAAAAAAAACTGAAAGACATCATATAGAATGGCTAAAATTTTCTCCTTAACAAAAAAAATAAATAATAGCAGTTATCCTTTCTCAATGAAAACATAACACAAAGTTGAAACTTAAAAAAAGAAAGCAACCTCTCTACCCCACACACAATCTCAGCTCACCTGATGAGAGGTTCTCCCAAACTATAGCCCTGACTGGCTGGAACCTTGAGAACCAGCTTTACAGCTTGTCCAAGTTCATAGACGTAGATCTGGAAAATATGGAAGGAAAGGGGGAAAAATTTTAAGAACTTACGGTGGAAATGGTTGTAAATGTTTAAAGCACTGTGCATAACGATTTAGATCATTTAGGAGGCTGGTTGCTTCCACCAAACCTGCCAGACAGGGGCAACCTGGGCTGATTGAAAGATAAATTGTCCCAGCTAACCAATAGAGTTACATTGTGTACCAGAACCTCCAAAAGAGGGAATCATAGTCACATCATCCGCATCAAAGAAGAGTATAACCAGAGGTGTTGGTCACATATCTGAGGTAATTTTAGATTTCAGGATAATGCAATAAGAGAGTGCACACTGGAAAAAGACTTGAACCAATTATTCAAAAGACAAGAAGACAAACACAAAGGGATTTAAAATCTCCTCTTTTTATTTTACCTATCTCCTCCACACACAAATATTCCCTTGATTATCCAATACGTAAAGACAAAGTTCCAAATAATGTTATTTTCCAAGATCTTATCTACGGCCTACACTGTGACATTGTCCCCAGAAAACTTACATCTCTCATAACATGATTAAAAGACATACTACATAATACCCAGTGCACACTGCAATAAGGTTTTGTCACATCTCCACTTGATACATTTGATTAGCCAGATTTTCCTTTACGGATGGGCAAAAGCTATCAATCTGGCAAGCTTTGATCAATTTCTCCAAAATTAAAAAATGTTTGTATTTTTCTTTATCACAAATCTGATACGTCTAAGGAAAACAGCCTTTTAGAAGTCTTCTCCACTTTTGCACATGAAATGCGATAGGCCCTGATAGGACTCCTGGGTCAAATTTAATGAAGCAAAGCAAAGGTCAACTTGTTAAAGGGTGCACTGGTGCCACCATTAATCAATCTGACCCCATCAATCTGATTATACTGATGAACAAAATTTTTAAAGTCTATAGCCCACATCTTACATGGTAAAGAAAGAGTGAAGTCCAGCACTTACTGAGATTATCTGCTTATCAAACAGATCGCTGTTCTGGGCATCTTGCGCCCGCACCTCCAGGACGAACACACCTCCGGAGAAAGCTTTATATGAGCTGAGAACTGTGAAGATGCCTGTGTTGTAGCCATCACCATCCACTTTAAAGGCGCTGAGACCAACAGAACCGCTTTCGCCTTGGGCAAAAAATACAGACCTCAGGATTTGGTAGTTAATAGCGTTGTTGCCTTTTCCATCTGCATCCCTGGCATCAAAAGTATGAACTCTTCCAGAGGGACCATCGACTGTTGCATAGGTATTTCCAGTAGCTTGAATAGCTGTAAAGTATAGGAAACCAAGTGTAAATGAGGTAACAAATCTATGGCTTCATATTCAAAGACTTTGCTTCAAAGTCAAGAGAAACAGATACTTCTTTAATGAAAAAAAGTATATTTAAAATGGATGTGGATGGAAATGATTCCTATATAAAGTATGTTTATATCAGCAAGAAATGTAAATACACAAGTGGTGACCTTTGAGACATTCAGCATAGGTCTTATCAGTGTCCTTGACCTCTTTCCATCACCAGTTCATAACTGTTCTTCCTCTACAACAAGTTTTCTTTTCTTTGTGTCAAAGCTAATTGATCTAAAGAAGGATCATTCCAAAGGCACGGCACTTGGTCCCATAAAACGAAACTTGGCTAGCAAGCAATTTTCAGGAACAACTGGCAAAAGCCGCTTTACATTAATTGAACTCCAAACTTCCACATCTTGGTTTGATTCAAAATCAGCAGTGCTTCAACAGATAACAAACATACTAATGACCAACATACAAATTATAGAAACATCAATGAACAGCACACACAAAACATGAATGAGAGATCATTCACAGGAAGTGTCAACTTTTCCATACTTTCAAATGGTCAACATAGAAATCTTGTATGTGAAGAATAAATGTCTTTACTGTGACAGCCATCAAGTTCATACAATTTTTTTTCTTTGATATAATGATCTCTAAAAGGAAGATGGCAAAAATTACCAGCAATAGCTGTAGGTGATGGGAACTTGGGTCCATTATCGTTCTGATCGATGACCCGCACCTCGATGTAGGCCACATCATCCTGAAGAGGTCGGACTGCGGACATGTCAAAGGCCCTCTTTCTACGGCTGACACTTGCTGGAACCTCAGACCTGATCCTGACACACATGTAGAACTCTGTGCTTTCCTCATAGTCTACAATGCGGCGTGTGACCAAACGTCCATCGGGATTGAGACTCAGGGCAGACATCGCATTACCTCTCCGGCCTGTGGAGAAGGAAGTCAATGGTTTGAATTCAACAGGACAAAATTATTTCTGGCCACATTCCTCATATTTTATCACAACTTACATCAGTTCTGGAAGGGCCACAATAAAATTAATCTTAAAGATCCTATGTCACTATGTGGAAACTGACTATCTCTGTAGGTTGTTCATTTCTTTCATAAAAACATGTGCTGCTGCGGAGACTTTGAGTTAAATACAGCAGGGACTTTAGGATTCACATTTAATCTCAATGGAGCTCAATAGTCACACCTCTTTTATTTGGGGCATTTATTCAGAGGCACAATCGAGTCTGGTATCAGCATAGCAAGCATAAGACTCATCAAAACAAAAGTCTGCAACACATCCTTCCTTGCCTGGCTCAGTACCCATGTAATGGTGAAACAAAAAGATATGAAAGAACAAAGAACTCACAATATTCATTGTCCGAATAGAGCTCATAAGTAACAGCATTGTTCCCAGGACCGTCTGGGTCGCATCCTGAAAGTCTTCTGATGGTTGTATTCACAGGCTCATTTTCTTCCACCGTCACTATCACAGGTTGACTCAGCTAGAAACAAACAAAAATACCCAACCGAATAGCATAGTTAAACGCAAGAGATGAAAAAGTTTTAAAAATGTAACTCTTTTAACATGAATCAACACTCTCAGCGTTAGAACTAAAAGGGAAGAACAGTGTCATCGCTCACTGTTTTTCTCCTTGTCTCTTTAATTATTTCTTCCTCACCATTAATTCAACAAACAGAAGTCATTCGTTCATAATTCCTCTATTTTCCAGCTTCTGAATGCAATTAACTTGGATTTGATGTATGACATGACTACATTCCAATAGTATTTGTCTTCTTCTGTTTTGAAGAAAATTGTAAACACTGCTAGTCAGATTTAGCTGCTGCAGTGTTGTGAAAACTGCAGGTTTTGTCAAGCACTGTCTGAATGAATTAAAAGTGAAAGGATGACAGCAAGTTAACCCATGAACTTGAACAGAGAAACTTATTTCTATCAAACATTTGCTTCCTAACTTTACAAGAAACTTAAGAAAAAAATCCTTAATTGCACCAGTGAAAACACTTATATTATTGAGCATATAGTAATATTTTGAGGGAGTGATGCATTTCGTACACAATTTTGAGAATTTTAGAACATAAAATCCTCATTAACATCAAGTAGATAAATCATTACTTTTGCAGAGGAAGCCTTTTTAGAGAGCTTATCAGTCTCTGATGATTAACTGAATTTAAACCCAATGACAAAAGTCATTTTGAACTATTATCTTGGCAACCCATAGTAAATAAAATCTCAACACTATCGAAAGCAACAGTACCCAAACACCAGTCAAGAAAACACCAAGTATAAGAAAAAGCACCCAAATTTTAGTCTTGAACCCTGATAACTATTCAACTAGACTGGCGGAAAAAGTCAGCCATCTCTCAGTACACAAATAAAAACCATGGAAGACAAATAGAACTATCTCTGTGGAAGACAAATAGAACTATCTCTGGACTGACATCATTCTTCTGATAAAATGTAAAAAAGACCTCACATGCAGTAGAACACACAAAATATTTCACAATGAATTACAAATTATAACAAAACATGGAACTTTTACTTTTAATTTCAATTTGACGATCCACTGGCAAACATGTGTTCCTGAGATGACCGCCAACTATCGTGCCAGAACTCGTCTGCTGGGACATTTTGTGACCCACTTTCAGCACTTTTCAAGGACCCCCGAGCAAGTGTTGAGTTCCTGCGTGCTATCGGCATCGCTGACCACAGCGCCAGAAGAAAGAGAGAGAGAAAGAGAGAAAAAGAGAAAGAGAGAGAGAGAGTGACTGGCAAACGGGGAACAAAACATGAGAATCTCTTAATACTCAAAAGGTGCTAACGGCTCTAAATTTGAGGAGAAAAAAATCCTTAAAACGTCCAGGAATGACTTCCAAAAGGTTTTTCTCCAATGAACGTACCCCACTGCCACATGCTGGATAGCCATTTGGATTACTGAAGGTAGCGTCGTTGTCATTCTTGTCAGTGAGCTCAAGTATCACAGTGCGGCCAGTCCTAATTTGGAGCGGGCTACTTGTGTCTTGAGCGTACACAAGTAGCTGGAGAAACATCAATCAAAACAAGAAATCTCAGCAAATTAAGCATGAGCAAACACAAACTCGGGTAAAAAAAAATTCATGCACATAAACAAATGTCTTGTCTTTTAAAGAAACTGAACAAGGGGCAAAAACTTTAACCTTACCTTCGAATTTCTAAACACAGCATTTTTCGGGATAGCCCGCTTGCGTTTAAAATCACCCAACTTGTGTCATAACGCAGTGGGATCAGGCGAGCGTCAATTTTCTACATTTGGAGTTATTGGTATTTTCTTAAATCTCGTTCATTTGTCATGCATTCGATGAAAAAAAATACACATGTATCTTGAACAGATGTCGAGATATTTCTGATTGAAGAAGGTGGGAGTCACCTGATTTCATATGTAAAATATCGGGGAAATGGACACAAAAGTTTGTAACTTCCATAACTTGCAAGTCCTTGGAAAATGAAAATTTACATCCAGCACAAGGATAAATAACAGTGTGCTTTGAGCATAAACAAACTTTCCCAAAAGAAACAAAATCTGCAAGTACAAACACTCGATGAACAAATTACTGACTCCATACAGGACTGCCCTTATAGAAGCAACAGAAGGAATAAATAATACATATCATGGCTCATTTTCATTTTTTTAATTTCTAGAAGGCAGCTATCAACAGAAAAAAATTGAGTTTCTTCCTTTTACAACATACAACATACAAAACTTTGTATCAAGTTTAGTGTTGAGTGTAATACAAAAATGGACCCAAAAGATGCTGTTCATTAAAGTAGGGACACCATAAGAGACACGCTATGGTTTCAGGGTCAAAAGCAATATACCGACAATCACAGCCACATTATTACTAATAAATCTAACCCCTCCTAATTTCAGACTGATCTACAAGAGTGTCAAATATAATTGGTCGCTTTTAAGGACAAGCGGGCTAACCCGCATGGCGGGTTATCCAAAAATCTTGACCTACACCAACAGTGGGCATTGCCCTATCTATAGGAGCAGTTTGGTTTCATTGGTGTGTATATTAATTTGGTTATAGAGAAAACTCTCCTTGTCTTTTAAAGAAACTGAACAAGGGGCAAAAACTTTAACCTTCGATTTTCTAAACACAGCATTTTTCGGGATAGCCCCCTTGCGCTTAAAATCACCCAACTTGTGTCACAACGCAGTGGGATCAGGCGAGCGTCAATTTCCTATATTTGGAGTTATTGGTATTTTCTTAAATCTCGTTCATTTGTCATGCATTCGCTGAAAAAAAAATACACATGTATCTTGAACAGAAGTCGAGATATTTCTGATTGAAGAAGGTGGGAGTCACCTGATTTCATATGTAAAATATCGGGGAAATGGACACAAAAGTTTGTAACTTCCATAACTTGCGAGTCCTTGGAAAATGAAAATTTACATTTTGTGTGCCTTTAATCAACGCTTTTTAGTAAAATCTAGACAGAAATACGTTTTTAAATAGATGTAAAAGGTGATGAGCCAAACAAAATAAAATCAATAAAAATTACCAAACGGGAAGGAAAATGTCAGTTTTTTCGATTTCATTATTTTGACAAGCGCCTGATATCACAACGATGCCTCGCATTTAAAAAACAGGATTTTAAAATTCTAAACTGAACATTGATAAAAAAAAAATAAAAAATTCACCACACATTCACTAGCCTGCTCACTTTCAACCCCAACCCATCTTCCTCCTCCAAAAACAGAAACCAACAATCAACAAAATAAAAACCCCAAAATGTTACCATATCTTTAAAAATATCAACGGCACACTCACTTCCAAGTTGCCTTGTAATTTAAAATCATTTCCAATTAATGCTCAGACATATGTGTCATGACGCGGTGGAATCAGGCGCTCTTCAATTTTTGGGCATCAGTTGTTGGTATCATCTTAAAAGTAATTTAGTTGCCTTGCTTTCAATTAAAAAATATCCATTTATCTTGAATAGAAGTCGAAATAGTTGCGATTGAAGGACATGGGGTCACCTGATTTCAAAAGTAAAATTAATGAGAAAATGGCCGCCAAAGTTTGGTGACTTCCATAGTTTAAGAGTCCTTAGAAACGGCAAATTTACATTATTTGGGCCTTTAATCAACGTTTTTGCATAAAATCCACAAATTAAAGTGTTTTTGAACGGACATACAAGGTGTTGAGCCAAAAAACAAAAATTCGAAAAAAACGCCCAAACAAGCCGAAAATGCCGATTTCTCTGATTTCACTATTTTGACAAGGGCTTGATTTCACCATGATGCCTCACACATTGCTTCAACAAAATAAACAGGGCGCTGCACGGTGGCGACCAGCAACGGCATGTTAGCAAAATTGTTTGCTATTGCTGTTATATCGTGTATTTATGTATGTATTTATGCATGTATTTTTGCACTTTATGCACAGTGAATATTTGGTACCTGATAACTTTCTTGGCGCTCTCGATCTAGCGGTTGTACAATGGTTAAACGTCCGTTGGAGTCCATCCTGAAACTTGAGTAACTGTCACTGCTTGCTGACAGTTCAAAAGTGATGTTGGTGCCAGTGCGGGCTTCAGCATCAAAGAACAATTCATTCCCACCATGATCTTTGACAACATAGTTGGTCTCCTCCTGGGGGGGGGTCATAACAGCAAATACTAAAAGTCATACAAATACTAAGAGACACAAGTTAGGTCTTGTTTCAGATTTGTTAATAAAGATAATATTGATTACTTTACTTTTACCTTTTTTTACTTTTTCATCCTCTGTTGCTGTAAAGCGTCGAGGAGAGATGCAGTTTTCTATGGTAGGCCAGCTCTGCCATTTATGTAGTGCTCTTTTCTATACAAGGATAAGCTCTGAGCACTTTACATCAAAGAGGAGATAAGTAAAACCTAATACATACACCCCCCCCCCCTACAAAAAAACCCATTTCATATAAACAAGAAAACCAGTTCAACTACATACGGAAGAACTTTCTCAGTCATTCATTAATTTATACATGTTTAAGGACAGCAGTGAAAGCAAGACACATCGGCAACTGCTAACACATTCCAACAGAGACATAAACAAATGAGTTCTATGTGACTATTTTTTAGGTCTCTTTTTGAGTGAAGCAAAATGGTCCCTTAAAGGCCATCTAATACTGAAAAAAAAAGAAGAAAAAAAAAAAAGACCTACTAGAGGTACCCTCTAACCACCTGTACAAGAATAGTCTTAGAGACAAACACTTTTCAATACAGGATGTTGACTTTATAAGTAGGCTTTGGACGGGGGGTGGGAGTTTCAATGCTCCACTTTTTCCCCCTCAATGAATTGCATCAGTAGAAGAGAAGAAGAAAATGTAAACGTAATTGTAAGCGTATAGAGCTTGCTGTTGAGCGAGGATTTGCGCTATACAAATGCTATCTATTATCTATTATTATTAAACAAAATTCCTCAGTGTGAGAGGCAAGTCTGATGGAAAGAGAGGCAGAAGCAGACAGAGGGAAAAGATACTGGACAAGATGACAACATGGCTGGGAGGTGCAAGAACAACAGACACCATTGCTGCAACGCAAGACAGAACGAAGTGGAGGTCCATGATCGACCACGCCACCGGATAATGATGATGAGAGGGAGGTGTTGTCATGAATCTACACACACACACCCATAAACACTGACCTCGGGGGCATAGACAACGTGCCCCACTGGTGGTCCCAGCCACCTGGGGTTGCCATCGTTATCCTCAGTGCTGAGGACTGTGATATCAATGGTCATGAAATCCGTCCTGGGCACGTTGCCGTTGTCCCGGGCTCGCACCCTCAGCGAGTACTTCTTGTCTCCTTTACCCACAAGGCTGGTGGCCACATAGATTGTGCCAAACAAGGGTGAGATTTGAAACAGCGACAACGCTGAAGAGGTAAATAGGCAGGTGAAACGAAAAGTGATTAATCGTCTTACAGCACCTGAAAGACTTTCTCAAAGGGGCGGGGGGGGGGGGGGATAAAAACTCTGCAATCAAACACAATTTTTAGACACTCAAGTTTATCTTACCTTTCCAATATACTCAGTCGCTTTTTTAACTATTGAGTTGAAAAGAAAATCAAAAACAACATTCCCTCAAGAAAGTTGATTATTAAGGGGAGACATACACTCCCGGAAAAATTTTCTAAACAAATGACTTTTATTCACTTTCATGTAATTGTGCAAGAAGTTCATAGGTAAATAGGATGTACTAAGGTTGAATTTGTTGAATTTCACTGAATAATGGGTCTCTGAGGCGGCCATCTTGGATTTTCAAACCAGTTTCTTAGTGCAGAAGAATTTCATAGTAAATATTGAATTATCAACTTGAAATTTGGCACACAAGTACAAACCTATATGAACTGGGGATCCATGTGGGATTTTGACCTATCTTTAGAACTAAAAAAGTCAGCCCAAAGTCATTGGACCCCCGAGAGTCAGTTGACGAAATTTTGGGGTACATATTACAAAAAAATTTTAATATTTCCACAAGTTACCAATATTTCACAATTCCCTAACATAGATCCCCAGAATAGATCTTAAAGCACCTGTACACCAAATTTGAAAACTCCTTGCACCAAAGATGTCACATATGTCAAAAAGTAGATTCTGAGAAAAACAGAAAAAACAGGGATTTTTTAAAGGATTTTTAGAGCAATTTGAACTTTTCAAAGCCCTTTTAGGTCATTTCCGGTATTTTTTCAACAGTTTCTTCATTGTGACCCGATAGAACAGATGTTTTCCCGCAAAAAACAAAAGTTGGATAGTTTGAAAAATGTTATCGATATTGCCTGGGATCGCCGACCCGCGTCTTCCCTTAATAATGATAACAATGCTAACTATGATGATGATGATGATGATGATGAATAATTTCTTTTTCCCCCACTCCGATACAATACAACTCTAGGTGCTTCACAATACTTTCATTTAAACAGAAAATAGTGTGCGTGAACAAATTAAGATTAAATTATTGAAGTTTCTAAAATATTCTTTTAAAACTGTAAAGCTTGTTGTGTTGTAAAGTTTTGATTTGCATCTTCGAGGATTTCTTTCTACTATACACCCCATCCTATAAGAGATACACAATTATTGCTATTTCAGCTGTCCTGCCTTTTAAATGCCGAATTGTTTTCATAGGAGCATTCAGTACTTCAACTTCAGGTTCCCCAACTGCCTCACGGGTAAACGTGTTCATAAATAAGAGCAGTGAACAAAATAAGAAACTTTATAAAAGTGTGTCGTACTTTTGTGTCCATTGACACCTGATTACAGGAATCCAAGGAGCTCACTGTACATCACCTGAGCTCACTCCACTAACGGTAAGCTGCAGTGTCCTATCTAAATATGAAGCAGACACCCACAGCAAGTGTAAACTGAGAACACAACAACACAACTATCCTGATCTGGCGTTTGTCATCTCTATGGACTTGCTCTATGGGCAAGAACACCCAGATAAATATCTCCATCGGATTGTTCTATGGAAGGAACACCCTGATAAATATATTCATTGACTTGTTCTATGGGCAGGAACACCCAGATAAATATCTCCATCGGATTGTTCTATGGAAGGAACACCATGATAAATATATTCATTGACTTGTTCTATGGGCAGGAACACTTTGATCAATATATTCATTGACTTGTTCTATGGGCATGAACACCCTGATAAATATATTCATTGACTTGTTCTATGGGCATGAACACCCTGATAAATATATTCATTGACTTGTTCTATGGGCATGAACACCCTGATAAATATATTCATTGACTTGTTCTATGGGCATGAACACCCTGATAAATATATTCATTGACTTGTTCTATGGGCAGGAACACCCTGATAAATATCTCCATTAACTCCTTTTATGGCCAAGAACGCCCTGATAAATATCTCCATAGACTCGTTCTATGGCCAAGAACGCCCTGATAAATATCTCTATTGACTCGTTCTATGGCCAAGAACGCCCTGATAAATATCTCTATTGACTAGTTCTATGGCCAAGAACGCCCTGATAAACATCTCCATTGACTTTTCCTATGGACAGGAACACCATAAGGACTATGTAAAAAATAGAGACATTAGTTTAATTCTATCTTGAAGGGATATCTTACCTTCAAGACTATTGACCACACCATTTGCTTCAAGGGAATAAGTAATGCGACCATTCTCGCCGATGTCATCATCAAATGCTTGCACACTCGAAATCTCAGAACCAACATCAGCAGTTTCCGGAACAACATAACTCCGAGAATCATCTTTGAAAACTGGCGAGTGGTTGTTCTCGTCAATGAGCTTGATAGTCAACTGTTGGCAAAAAAATTAGCTATTGACAGGATAAGACAAAGTCGGGGAAAGTCAAATCGACATTCACAGACCAAAACATAACTGACTCAAAGTTTAAAACTTCTTTCTATCTTACATTACATACATCTGCTTTTTCTACCTTATATCTGTCTATCAGCTTCCTTGGTGCTGCTGATGGGTATTTTTTTTGCATGGTAAATGAGGTAGATCTAGATCTTAAATTGTTGGTGAAACAAAAACTTTAATGAATTCTAAATGATAGCGCAGACTGAATTCTTGTCGTTCAGGAAAATCCATGAGTTTCATTCTGGCAGATAGGAGTTAACAGAGACTTACCACCGCAGTGCTGGTTCTCCTGAGATTGGAAAATGATGTATCCACATTTGGGTTGTCAATGGCAAGAATGTCAAGCTTGTACAGGTTGCGTCTGTTGTAGTCCAGCTGCGCCCCCTCAGCAACCAAGACAACAGCATCTATATCCTAGAACACAAGCACAAACAACACATCAGATATTACACAGGGACTCTCGTGGTCTAGAGGTTAAGGTATTGGCCTCTTATTCAAAGGTCCCAGTTTCGAATCCGGACAGTGACAGAAAATTTTCTTCTCTAAAATTTTCTCCTTTCATATCCTTTCCTGCTCTCTAACAATGTTCTGTCGTCTGCTTTCGTCTCCACTTTCTGCCCCACCCCCTCACCTCCTTTGCCCCCTCCTCTTGGCTCCTGACTCTTTTTGCAGCCTTTCTACTGCTACTACTTGGCTCCTTCTTACTGCTGTTTTTCAGCCTCACCCCTGATCTTATGGTAGGTAAGATCTACACCTAGCTTTTTCGGGTAAGAGCAAATAAATCTTGAAGGTGCCATGTGCAAATTGCACACATTAAAGATTCCTTGGTCGTCCAAAATCAATAAGAGTACGCTTCAGCCACCACCCGGGCAAAACTCAAAATTTCCTGTCTGAAATTCTTTAATGTGTCCCGTGCACTCATATGACCTTATGCAGTTGTGAGCCTATCTGATTTAGTAACAGTCTTACAATGAAACAAACAAACCTTCCGGAACAGGGTGAAATCCTCAGATCCCAAGCCACCAGAGATTCTGTAGTCGATGGGACCAAAACTGGAGCTGTCAACATCAGTAGCCAGCACAGTGACGACCTCTGTCGGATACTGGGCTGTCTCCGAGATTTCCGCATAATAACTCTTCTGTAAAAGTGGACATTCACTTTAAGTATGCATGGCTGGTTCTCAACAAAAACCCGAAAATGGCAATGGGTTCTTTTTAACAGCCTTCATTTTTGTGTGCTTCAGAGCAGCTTTTATGAAGCTTATCTTTGGAACCCTTCCACAACAGAGCTGTTCATGAAGTGATTATTTTTCTCCTTATCCTTTGAACCTCAGTACAATTCTATAGTGCGGTCAAAAATACTTGGCAACTTATTGTCAAATATTTCTTAAACTATCGAACATAGACTCTCCAGCTTGTGCACAATGATTTGTATCAATTTGTCTTAACAGATCAATATTTTTGTAAACACCTGTTCGCTGTATTCTAGAAAATTCCATAATAAATACTAATAAAAATTCCAAGAGTGGTATCTACAGATTTTAAAAGGTTAACAGCTAGGACATTATCGCTTTCAAAAGCAAGTCCGACAGGGTTTTTTAAAAATCACGACATTATGCTTATTGAACACATGTTTTGAGAACCTTTAGTGCAAAACATATTTTCACAATAAAATTATTTTCTTGTAATAAGTTTTGCTACTAAAAAGTGTCGTTGGTTAGCTGTGACAGGCCATATGAGTATACAAAATGTGTTAGAAGCAGGAAGTGCTGTGAACAATCCCATTTTCTGCATGACAGAGATTAATTGATTTATAGTATTTTATATAAATTTATGAAGAAATTTTTAAAAATCTAGCCTCAATTGTTGTGGGGGAAAAAAAAGGTAAAGTTAAGACAAATTGATACAAACTGCTGGGCAAAGTATGGGTGACATTGATTCCCCCGTTTAAGAGATATTTGAAGATAAGTTGAAACACTAATTTTTTACGACACACTCTTTAAGCATATATTACATTTACCCTTCTGAGCATGCATGCCTAAGCATGTGGCAGCAAAAACCTGGCAGTTGACCCATGAAAGCTCAAGCACAGAGACCCTGTAGGCTCAGGGGGCCCAAGGCTCATGCAATTAAATATTATGAGGTCACGTTTATTGAAGTATTGTTATACCAATATTAGGTATGATTCCACTAAACAATACATAAAAAGGATAATGCTTTAACATGCTTTCTTTCAGATGAGGACTAACATGTGCTCTTTGACTTAAAGCTAAAGAGAGAAAAAAAACCACCATCCTTCCCCCTCCAAACTAATTCACTGAACATATACCTTTACTTTGACATACAGAACAAAGACAAAAATGAAACAAACCCTCTGGAATACTGGAGAGTTGTCGTTGACGTCATTAATGCTGACAGTGACCGTGGCTGTTGCACTTCGCAGCCCATCTGTAGACATGGCCTTCACAATGATCTGGTGTTCTTTGACCACCGTTTCATAGTCCACTTGACGAGCAAGGAGGATCTGGCCACCTAAACAATGAAAAGACAATGATACCAGCTCTTCAAAGGGTCTCTAAATCAAAACAGAATATGACAGGTGCAAGGGTGTATTTAGAGCCTAAAAAGCCACATCATGAAGTGGCAATCAGTCAAAATTCCACTTGCATTTCAACACTTTACCTTCAGAATTGAAGATGTCCAGCTCAGCTTTATCCAACTGCAGACAGTCAAATCTACAAGAAAAAAGCCAGAAACATCCCAAGCCCATACAGATAACATTGTTTGCACGAACATAATTATCTAAGAGACATTTTATTCACAAGTTACGCTAAGCATCACTGACAGAGAATGTCTATTTGTTTCATTTGAGAAAAGAAAAGCATTTCAACACAATAATGGTCATTTAGTGCTGGGACAAAGTAAGACAAGACAGACAGAAAGAACAAAGGGAAAGTAAAGAAATAGAAATCAGCACAACAGGCATCTGTTCATCCCATCATGAATCCTTGTAATGGGAATGTCCCTTTTTTAAACAATAAAAAAAAGCATGCAAATAAATTGTCAAGAAGAAGCAGGTAACATATATTAGCAATCGTCAATCGTGGTGAAATCTGGCACTTATCAAAATAACTAAATCGAAGATACTGGCATTTTCCCACCAGTTTGGTAATTTTTATCAATTTTTTGTTAATGGCTCAGCACCTTTTGTGTTTATTTAAAAACACATTTCTGATTGAATTTTACTGACAAATGTTGATAAAAGGCACAAAAAGATGTAAATTTTCAGTTTCCAAGGACTCTCAAGCTTAGGCAATCACCAAACTTTACCTCTGATACTCAGTGACCCCACCTCCGACAATCGCAAATATCTCGACTTCTATTCAAGAAAGATGCATATTTTATTCATCAAAAGATAGTGAAATGAACAAGCTTAAAGATGATACCAATAACTTCACAGGATCAAAAATTGACGAGCGCCTGATTCTACCACATCATGACAAAGTTATTCTTTTTATCATATGATATACGATAAAAAGATTTAACTTTAAATTGACAGCACTGATGAAAGAGCACTCAGCATCCTACACTAAATGAATATTTCCAGTGGGAAACGAGAGAGAGAGAGAGAAAAGTACGTTGTTTTCCAGGGAAAGGGGTTTTTGGGTAAACACATTAACACAACAACAGTCATCCAATGCTGGGGAAAAAAACCCAAATAGACAGTGAAAACAGATGAAAAGTATAGAAGTAGAAACTGCAAGTGGCAACCTCCAACCACCCAAAAAGAATAGCTACATAAACCAAAAAATAGGAAGGTGGTCTCACCAGCAGTAACCGAAAAGTACTCAGAGGAAGGCTCCAGCTTGGAATATATGATACCAGTAGCTTGAGGGTCGTTGGCCGTGACTGTAGCTGCTCTGTAACCCACCACCTCATCTTCGTTCATAAAGCTGACGGGGATAGGGTCAAACCTGATGGCAGTGTCGGGCTCGCCTTCAATTATAATGGTCACTTGGGCTGGGAATAAGAGACAATACAAATGTGGAAATCAGTAAGAACGAGGCAGAGCATTTCTATTTATAGTCTTTTTTTAAAAAGGTTCGCCAGTTTTGGATCAAATTATGATATCTCATTCAGTCACTTCTGAGCCTAAAATAAGCTACTTGAGAATTTGGAGAAGGCATAGTTTTGCCTTAAAGTCTTTTAACACACTGAGGAAAGACAGAAACTGCATGATTTTGAGAAAAATGTATCTTTTAAGCAATAAATGTCTTTCCTTTCATAATTTATCCTTTTTATCCTTTTTTCTCACCTACTATTCATTTTCTGTTTGATTACAATGAAATTTTAAGGATGTGTTACTCACACCTAAACTTAATTTTATACTGTAGAACAGATGACTAGATGCATTTATGACTTATGAGTTAAGAATGACTGTGTAATCGCATTCAAAGGTGTAAGAGGGGAGGTAAGTTATCTGCCTATAATCTTTTTTTCCTGTTCAAGATATCCCTCAGCCCTACTTTATACACTTTGTTTGAGAATATCTACCAATAGACCAAATCTGAATAAATCTGGTGCATAAACAAAATGTCTTTGTTAGTTTTAAGATAACTTTTATTTTCAAAATGCCTGCCACTACCATGGTAATCTTGGATTTTGAGGGAAAAAAAAGTAATATCACTTTTTAGAGATATTTTCCTGGTATACCTCCGTGCAGCAATATAAAAAAACAACTTTATGGTTGAGAGCTACCAAGACAGGTCTGAAGTGTAGGGTAATAGAGGTACCAGAGGGTTGACAAATGGGGAAACAATCAAAGGTTTGAGTAGTCTTACATCCATGTTAAAACATTACCTGTAGCTGTTTGGACCCCTTTCTCTGCATTTACGTCCTGAACTTTGACAGAGAACGAAATTTCTTGAGCAATGTCTTTATCCAGTTTTCCATTGATTGTGATCCGTCCATTTTGGTCAATAGCAAATGCTTGCTGTAAATAATAGTTAAATATATATACATGCAAGTCGACCCAGAGCAACACGGAAAGGAGATTGAACAAAAGAATGGGGACTGGATACACAAGAAAGCAGTATGATTGACCTACTTTTATGCCTCTTTTAGAATCAAAAAGGGAAGAGCATTGTCCAACATTGTAAACTGTGTTTGTTTTAGTAGAGGTTTTACGCCACTCGCAACTGCATAAGGTCATAGGAGCGCCAAGGGGTGGATGTCAACAGAGAAATCCTTACAGGGAATCAGACTTACTCTGCTCACCTCTCTAGCTTCAGCATCACAAAGTCTGCTTCGACTATCAAGGCACCCCGGAAATAGCGGGTCACAAGAGTGTGACAAACATACAAAAGAAGTAGAGGAAAATGACGATAGTAAGGATTGGGAAAGAAAAAGCAGCAGTTCCCTGCTGCAGATCAGGCACAGTTATGAGCGTGATATGATGAATCAGCCCATTTACAATTCTACTGTGCATGAATGAGAAATGTCCCCCCTTTGGGAAGGGCCTAAAGACACTTCAGTCAGTGGCACGGCCCCCGGGGGTGTAAACTGTGTTCAGTACGTCTGTAAACACAAATGCAAAATGAAAAGCAGCTCCGACTAATGAGAGGCCTTCAACTTGACATTGATTCCCGAAGGACAAAGCAAGATCACAGAAACAGTAACATGTTACATTGACTCTAATAATGACAATCTTTCAGATTAGTCTTTCAGGGAGAAATATCTTGGCTGTTTCTAAAGGCAATGTAATAACAAAAGTCATGAGCACTTGTGCATAAACACGACAAGAAAGGACATATATACATACATTATGCGCTGAGACAACTCCATTCTCCCCCGCCACCCCCTCCCCTCCTCTCCCCCCTCTTTCTCTGTCTGTCTGTCCATCCGTCTGTCTCTCTTTCTTTCTCTCTGTTTCAATTGTACCACTGTGTGTTTCAGTAACCTCACTGCAATTGGTACAAAAGAATTCCTAAAACAAAAAATGACCAATTTGGCCCTTTTTATCATGGCTCCATATTTTGTCATTTGCCCAAGGGCACTACATTAATCAACTTGCAAAATCAAAACACTGGGCCTGTTCCTCGGTAATGCTAAAGACCTCAAGGTTCTTTAAGAAATCTAATGATTGCATGAGTTGAATCCCTTCCAATATAATAGACTTTGCCTTCATATTGCTGCATACACAAAAACGATAAACGAATAATGCAGAGCTTTCTCTCATACAGCAAATAAAGTACAACTTACAGTGTAATCATAATTGTCAGAGTCCGAAAGCTTATTTCCATTCTTGTCACTGGCTTCAAAAGACTGCAGAGAGTAAACAAGCCGTTTGGTGGAATCTGGATCTTGAGCCTCTGTGGTAAGCACTGGGGTCCCTATGGGATCAGCTGCAAATGGGTGTGTGTGTTTGTGTGTGTGTGTGTTTGTGGTGGGCACAGGGGGGGGGGGGAGGGGAGAAAAAGACATTAAGACATTGCAAATTGTGTCTCATGAATGAGCAAGTCATGAGAACAAAAGGTAAAAAGCAAATCTTAAACATGCAAGGCTCAAATAAAAGAAAAAAGTGCTTCACGTTAACATCAAATATGCTTTTTGTTTGGGTTTTTTTTGGCTCTCAACAGCATATGGTCATAAGAGCGTGTGGGACACATTAAACATTTTCAGCTGGTAGAAAATTTTGAATCTTTCCCCGGGTGGCTGTCGAAGCCTACTCTATTCGATTTTAGACCAACAAGGGATCTTTAATGTGCGCGCACTTGCACATGAGACCTCCCAGTATTTTCGCCCCTATCCAAGAAGGCTAGGTATTAGAGACAGCAGTAAGAGGGAGCCAAGGAGTAGCAGTAGAAAGCCGGCAGAAAGAGCCAGGAGTCCAGAGGATGGGGGCAAAGGAGGTGAGGGGTGGGGGCAGAAAGTGAAGACGAAAGCAGGCAACAGAAGATTGTTAGAGAGCAGGAAAGGAGGGGAGAAGAGAAAATTTTAGAGAAAAAAATGTTCCCGTCACTATCCGGATTCGAACCAGTGACCTATTGAATGAAAGGCTAACACTGTAACCCCTCAACCAGGAGAGCCCCTTCAAATAAGTTTTCTTTTGATTGCATCAACAAAAGAAAGGAAGTTGAAAGTGAAACTAACTTTCCTGTGCGTTGGCTCTGTACAAGAATTTATCAAATTTAGGTGGCTTGTTGTTGGCATCCAAGATGACCACTGAGACATTCGCTGTGTCATTTAGCTGTGGGGCCCCACCGTCTGTTGCAAGGATCTGAAACAAACAAAAACAAAACATTACCGTGTCAATTGCTTTGTTTTGTTTTCACGGTTTACAATCAGTGATCTCTCTGAAAGACAACTCTTTCCCTACAAGCAGAAAATTTCCCATTCTGCATCCCTTCACTCATAATATACCAGTTCAACATTTCCATTAAGACTTTATCAACTAAAACTTCAGTTCTATTAAAAACAGTGGCGGATAAGATGCAAGAGCAAACTACACTTTTTGCTTGCATTTTGCCTAAACTGCAGAGCAGGACCCTTAAAGAATCCAGTATTACACACTCAAAAAATCAGAGTATCTAGGAATACAAATCATATTTTTGGGGGTTACTTGGCCGGTCTAAATATCAATATGTCTGCAGCCAACAGAACGTGAAGGTAGCTTCTAGAAGTGCCTTTTGTGAAGCCATATAGGGCATAAGACTCTTTGAGCAGAAGAACAGTACTATTAACATCAAAATAATAACACTGACCTGTTGTTAACAGATCTCCTGCAGAATGAGAAAGCAACTGCAAACAGCATTTTCAACTTTTACTGCTTTAAAATATTTGTCACAAAACATACAGTTACCCATAATTTTACATTGCTGATCCCGTTCTTTCAATAGCATACAGATCGAGAATCGAATAATCAGCTTTTTCTACATCTTTCATTATATGGATATAACCCAATATACTTCAAAGCCATACATATATTACCCAAGAGCAGAACCCTGCCAAGCCACAAGCTGTTACATAAACGTTCTGCACCCAGGAGGCATGATAAACGACAAAAACAAACAGCAGCCCTCAAAGACAAGCCCACCGAGACACCCACCTGGAAATCGTAGCTGGTTCTGATATTGTAATCAAAGTTGTTCTCCCCAGCCACTGTCACAACACCAGTGTCCGGGTCCACTCGGAAGTTTCCAGAGCTTCCACTGCCAAGGCGGTAGGTGATCTTCCCAAAGGCACCACCATCAAGGTCAGTTCCATTGACGTCAGCCACCACAGTGCCTGAAAACAGAAGCATGACAGAACATGACAGGGGCAGAGGTGTATTTAGAGCCTTTAAAAAATCCCACCATGAAGTCGCAACAAATCAAGTCAAATTCCATTTGAATTTCAACACTTTACAGTCATCATTTTAGAAGATGTACAGCTAAGCTTTATAAAGCTGAACAATTTCAGTCCTAACCCTTTGAGCCCTCATCACTGATACACCGGAGGCATGTAAAACTGCCGGTATGCCTAACCACCGGTAGAATGGTGAGTGAGACCCTATCCCCAAACCGACCCGCCTGGGACAAATCATGCGCAGGATGCCATGTTTACTACACAGGATATGTTACTGATTATTTTAAACAGCTTTCTGAATTAGATGCTAGTAATGACAAGGACTACCATGAGTGGGATGTGGAGTGTGATGCTGACGGTAACATGAATGTTAGTAATATATCGCCTAGGAGCTCATGCAAAGGGGCACAGTAACATCAGGAGGTCAGGGTTCATAGGGTTAAATCCACCATCTGCACTCAAACACAGAACCTACATGCATGAAGTACCAACTGTCACATTGTCTTTCCCTTTTATTTTTACTGAAGTTCAAAGCTTGAATCAGACTTAAGCATTAAATTTGAGCATATGATGTCAAGAAAAAAACTTTCCCTGCTATTCCACCAACACAGTTACTGGCTAAATCATTAAATAATAATAATAATAAATAATAATAAATAGCATTTGTATAGCGCATATCCCCGCTCAACAGCAGGCTCTATGCACTTTACACTATATTATTACCCCAGCAGACCATAGAACACTCCGAAACATTCTCAGCTTCCCGGGAAGCATACAGTGCAAGCAGCTGATTAAGCGCTCAAACACTAACAAACTGACAAGATCTTTCGCTGTCTATAGCCGGGTACCCATTCCCACCTGGGTGAAGTGAGGAAAATTGGTGTAAAGTGCCTTTCCCAAGGACACAACATCAGGCCCTTGACGGGATTCGAACCCACGACCTTACGGTTGCGAGTCCGAGAGCCTAACCACTAGGCCACCGACGCCATAAAATCATTATAAAGGCCTTGCATTACAAAATATTAGTCAAAATTATGAAACTGCATTAGAAGATTGGAAATAAAAAGGAAAATGAAATTAGCAGTAATTTATATTCAAGCTATATAAAGATCAAGAGAAATATCTTGTCCAGATGATCAGTTGGAATAATCCCAGATTTTCTTTTTTAAACTGGGGTATCTTCAACACAAAAAGTGTGATAAAACCTCACATCCTTCAATGAAGCTCAAAAGGACATTTACTGACAAACTCTGTACCATCTTTTCTGATGCAAAATATTACAAACCAATTGAAATAGCCAGAGGGTGTACAAAGGCTGTGACATACTTAGGTAGTTTCAAAAAGAAATGTTTCAGGCTTTTTGTTTCAGGTCACTTTGTGCAGTTCTGCCATCTAATGCAATCTATCGGCAAAACTTACAGTTCCTTCCACAGTTATTAATTCTCAACAAAAGTTATGACTGAGCAAATTCTCAACAAAAGTCATGACTGAGCATTATCACAGCATAATGTATACCTGGCTCAGCAAGCTCAGAGATGGTAGCTTGGTACACTTTGGGAAACAAAATAGGAGAGTGGTTGTTTTGATCCTGTAAACAGAAAAAGAGTTTCCCATCATATCAAAAACCAAACGAATGTCTCATTCATTACTAGTTTCATACATAAAGAAATAATTGACAAACACAATCTCAAAACACTGAAACCAAGAATAAAAAAACAAATCTCATTAAATTCAGATCCCCAGCTCTAAAGATGGTTATGTCTTAAGTTAATCCTCCCAAATTCCCAAAGAATCAAAAACTTTAACTTGTCCCCCTTTTTCACATTCATAATATATCTTATAATCTAGACTATCATTATTCCCTTCTGTCAATCCTTTTATGAACACTTAACGAACGAACAGTTTATTTACAAGGAGATAAAGAGCTACTGCGCTTCTGGAGGAGGGAAAAAATATGAGAAGAGATACAACTCATCATTGTACAACAATAAAAAAAAGATGTTTTATTTTAAATTTTTTTTTAAAGAAGAGAACACCGCAATCATTTAGAAGAATGACATTACAAAGCAAGCAACCTAGGCAAGCAAGCCAAAATACGACACAAGAAACAAGTACAGTTTTCCCTACTTACAATAACATTTACTTTGACCGGCACACTGTTTGTCTGTGGAGGATTACCACCGTCAGAAGCCTGAACAGTCAGGGAGAAGCTGAAAAGAACAAGCCAAAGAAATACACTCTTGCACAAGCCTCATAACGGATGCAATGGTTTCAAACACAGGATTAACATTAGTTTCCTGGAACTGTTGGTTCGGTGACCAATTTTGTTGGAATAACAGAAGCCACAGCGTAGGTCCAATTAAAGAAACACTCTCATTTCAGTTACCAAACATAGGTAGATGGAATTTGAAAAAAAAATCCAAAAGAAAATGAACAATATACTAAATAAACTAAAATAATTTACCGAGTAAGCCAATGCGGCATGGCGCAGAAACTTCAAATCTTTGGCTTGCAAACTTTAACAAAAGTTCTGCAAAATTAGCAGTCTGCCTGCGCTAAACTGGTGTGTGTCCAGACAAAATCAACAAATCAACCGACTGACTAAACTCTTTAACAATAGATTAAAGTTCAGTAACTCTCTATATTTTTCCTGAGTTCTGATAATAAAATCTTTGATGGTCCCACAAATTGTAGATAAATGATAAATTGTAAAGCACATTGACCCTACTTTCTAGAAGGGACATATACAAATAAAATGTAATCTATTTTTAACGATAAAAAGAAGCATAGCTAGAAAATAAGATTACCCAAGCTCAATAAAACAAAGATTTCCTGTTGTACTCAAAAGGGTAGATAATTGGATGCAAGAACACCAGAAGTTCATTTAAAAAGTTTTCATTGCATACCTTTTGCTACAAATGAATTCCACATGAAAACTGGGGGAGATTGGGGGGGTGGGGGGGGGGGGGGATCCACAAATGTCCAATTAAAACATTTTGGGGGGTTTTGCCACTTGGAATTTGCTGTAAGCCTTGGCTATTTTATCGTTAAAATATCAAGCGGGAAAGCTGCAAAAGTAAAGAGATATGGTCAATTCTTTTTTAAAGTGGTAAGAGAGAAGCACAGACATCTTCAATGACGATGTTTCAATTTTCTGTTTTGTAAAAAGTGGACATCTGCGCTTATTCCCCCTTATTCTTCCAACGGCGTTGACCCTGATTTTTATTCCAGTGTGTATCTATTATTTCTCCGGGAACCATGGCTACTTTTCCCCCATACAATGAGAATTGTGTGTACTTACTATCCCAGCTTATTGCCTTGAGCATCCGTTGGTGTTGTATCATAATCTAAAGTGGCTCTTAGTGAAAGGGTTCCGTTGTAGGGTTCAATAAGGAAGGCATTGTTCGGGCTTTGTCCACTCACAATACTGTACGAAATTCTGCCTGTGCCGTCTTCATTATCCACAGCCTGTGGAAGTTTTCATTTTGAAATCACAATTATTTCAGACGAAATCTTAAGTAAAGGTCTCCTACAAAACTATTTCGACCGAAATTCAATACATAAATACAAAATGATACAAAAGGAATGCAATGTTCAAACAAGGTGAAAGAACTTGTGTTTCACACGCATTTGAAATATGCTTGATGAACTGGTGTAAGAGTAGGAATATGACTTTTGATCTATGCTGACGGTCAATTTAGCCTAAGATTGTCTCAAGGTTGTCTTCATGCAGCTTCTTTCATGGTTAATTCTTCCTTTGTTTGAGGCGCAGATTCTGTCGCAGTACTTGCATGTCAGTGATGTGGATCAAAACTCTGTATTTCCGCTGTTTACCTTTTGTCATTGATGAACTAAACAAAAAGTTACAACAAATATCAATTAACTCACTTAACCCCAAAACCAAGACATCCTGGTAAATATGTACCGCGCACAGAACCAAAAATGAAGATACTTCGGTCAAACACTTACTCTGGGGTTCCTTGTTTTTTCAGTCAAAACCACATTTGACAGCAACAAATTTATCTTTTCAATTCTTATCCAATTTTGCTCCATTTTCATACAACTTTTTTTACAGAAAGGACCAAGACTTAATTTTCTTTCTTTCTTTTTGTAAGAGTTTTATAGTACTTACAACACAATAAGCTCACATAAGTTCCGAAGAACAGAAAAGTTACAAGAAAGTAACAAACATAAAAAAGAAGGAGAGGAGATAAGGACGATAGATGTTTAATATGAAAGAAGAAGTAAAGCACACCAGAGCAGCTACCAACCGGCCACATTTAATTTTCTGTATCTAAACTCCAGACCACGTCTACTCTAACTAGATCTAAACCAGATTTAACCTAAACCAGGACCTAGTTTTTTCAAAGTCTAGATTAATCTTGTAGGCTTACCATAGACAGTAAGAGCTAGATGTATATCTAGCTATCTATTCCTAGACCTCGATTATAATAGATACTCAATATAGCAGTCTGTAAGTACAAAATCCAGCATCAAAAATGCTAAAAAAAACCGCAACAAATGATTTTTTCCCTGAACCTCAAAATTGCCCTCTTTTTTTAAAAGTTCATTTTTAAAAATCGTACTCAGCCCCAAATACAGTTGAAATTGTCCAAGACTGTAATCTACTGTCAAGAAAAAAAGTGGCCATCTTAAGATATTCGGTCACCAAACACAATGCCATTATAATGTAAAGGGGAAACTCAAGGGGATGAATAGGAAATGGCCGTCAGTACAGGTGACTGTTTCATACTGATGGCTGTTAGAGCTGGTTTAACAGTACATTTATTCAAATGTACAGCAAAGGCGAAAAAAAAAAAAATCAGGTGGGGTTTTATTGCATCAAAAAATATATAAAACTAAAATGACTCTTCAAAAATTTCTAACAATGGCTTTTCTCGGGTGATTCGTTTCAACATCTGGGCCACTCTCAAATAAATTAACCTAAATGCTCTGGAAGGGTGACTTCTAAATCTTTTACAAGAAACGCGTGAAAAAAAAAAATACTTAGCTCTGAGCAATCTCTAAGTCGTCATACAATAATGTACAACATGGGGTACAACGTTCTACGGAGTTCACACTGCTATTCAATCTCCCTCTTATTTCATCAGCCGTCTTATTGTAATTCCTAATTGTCTTCACAACAAAGGGATGGAAAAATAAACCCAAAACACATCAGGGAAGAATAAGAATAAGAGTATTAAGAATAATAAGACGTATATCAGGGTACTAGACCCACATGAAAGGCCTACACAGAACATATTATAAAGGCATAACCCTCACAGACAACATATCAAGGCATAGGGCCGTATAAAAACATATCAGGAAAGAAGTCTCACGTATAACATACAAAGTCATAAGGCCAACATAAAGCATATAAGGGCCCCACTCAAAACCTCCCAGTACAAAGGAAAAACAAAAACTTAACACAGTAGGCTACATTCTTCACATATGATCAATACAACACCTAGAAAGACATATAAGCATTTATGTACTTGGTGTTTACTCACAAAATAGAATTTACATTTACAGCAACTAACAATCGGTCAAACAAAGCGGTTCGACAATCTGCTCCAAGCAGAAGTAAATATTTTACCAAAAAATTACTCAGCTGCTTTATAAAGGTAGCGCTAAAGAATTATTCCCCGAACTACTTACAGTGATGGTAATGGGATTGAGGAAGTTCAGACTTGTCTCACTAACAGATGTCTCATAGGAAGGCTGCCTGAAGACCGGCCCTAGGTCATTGAAATTCAGCACATTCACCATGACCTGGGCCTGTGGAGCAAATCAGGTAGGTTGGGGTACAAACCATGGAGGCAAAACAAGGCAGGAGAGGAGAGGAGACCGTACATGACTGAATAGGGGAGTGGCAGTCTTCATTCCAACATCCACTCCTTCAAAGGAGCACGTCATCTTTGTATGTTATCATTAGGGAAAAAACCCAAGGGCTTGCAGGTAGTTTTTGTTTTTTGTTTGTTTGAGTAAAGACAAGCACATCGACACAGTAATGGCGATTTTTTGCTGAGAAAAAGTTTTAAAAAGACAGACAGAAACAACAGAGGCAAAGTAAAGAAGTAGGACCAACCAGTGGCACCCTCTAACCACCCACTCTTGCAGGTAAGAGCTAAATCTAGAACAGTTTGAACACAAGTATGTACATTGACAACATTATAGTAATTAAGTGCCAGTTAGTTTGAGTAAAACAGAATCATATCAACATAATAGTGACCAGCTACAGCAGGGGGGGGGGGGGGGGGGGGGGGGGGGGAAATAAGATACATAACAAAAACAGAGGGAGAGAAAGCAAAGACCCACAAATGGTTCCCTGCAACCACCCACAAGCAGGGCAAAAATAGGATTGATAACAAACAAAAAAACAGAGAGAGAGAAAGAAAAAGACCCATCAAAGGTACCTTGCAACCACCCACATCTAGAGCTAAGAAAAACACAAGACAGAGGAAGGAGGAAAAAGGAAAAGGAGGAAGGAGGATAAGCTGGACAGGGGAGAACAGGAGAAAACGATATCAGGTGCGGAAAGCCCAGAGAGCATGGTCATGCAGTGCCACCCAAAATTGTTCACTGTTTTATTGCTTAAAGCACACACATACTGAAAACGGAAAAAACAGCAACAAGGTCCTTGCTGGCACTTAAATCATGGCTATTACTGTATTCATAGCACCACAAAACATCTACCATGCCATACCAAGATTCTTGTGCTTAATAGCATGTTCAGCGGTTGTAATTTGACCTGAACAATGCTTTTAAGGCAGACCTAAGCAAGAAAGGCACTCAAAGTCAGCTTGGCTGAACATTGATATCAACCAGATGGTACAATCTCAAATGTGAGCAACTAAGCATTGCCCGCCATAAGCAGTATAAAAAATAAACGCAGGCAGAGGACAAAACAGTACCTGGCTGGACTTGGGTATCTCTCCTTTGTCAGACGCATACACCAAGAAAACGTAAGACTGCTCGAGCTCATAATCAAGAGGAGCAACTAGATCTAGTTGTCCAGACACAGAATCAATTGAAAACCTGAAAGAAAGCACAAACTGTTATAGACTACCTTAACTTTCTCTGTGCTGCAAATGCATTACAACATCCAGAACTGAACAAACTTAAAGCCAGTTCAGAATAGAATTGTACCAAATTGTTCATGAACTCATCTTAACAGGCTTCAAAACCACGCTAAACAGAGATGAGGTTTCTAAAATTCTCAATTCTCCCCATAACAAATTATTCAAGCAAAAACAAAATAAATATGAAAACCACTCTGGGTTTCATTAGAAACTGGAGCCATAACACGTCCAGACAATCAGATATATCATACCTTTTATATTAAAATTATTACTCTTGACCTAAAACATTTTTTTTTGTATGCCAATATACACAGCCCTGGTAAAAATCATGTCATTTACTAAGATTGAAACAAATAGTTTCATAGAACAAGACAAATTGATAATAAAACACAACTAAGCAAAAAATATTTAGAGCAAATTTTGGAAATATGATCACCGTAACCCCTTCATATGAGCTCCAATACACCATACATCGAACATTGTGAACCAAGATGTCTTCTTTCCATATAATGTACATCCTAAAATGCACAATATGGGATTTTATAACGGTTCTACAATAGTGTTGAATAGAACTTTTCAGGAAAACTGATGAAACTAGTAAATTGTTAAATCAAAAAGGAACCGAAAAATGACTGAAACTGCTCAACGACCTGGGTAGCAAAAGCTGGGTGCAGTAAAAGTTTAAAGAAAAAACCGTTATGCCATGAAGGGGTTGAAAATAAAAATAAAACTGACATCATGTAGATGTTTAGCTTTTTCAAACGGGAATCCAACGTAAACAAAATTGAAAAATGCTGCCAATTCAATCTCAATGCTGAAAAAGACATTGATGTTTTGTGAATAAGTACTGTGAAAGAACAGATGGTAGGACAGCAAGTGAGGGGGGGGGGGGGGGGGGGGTCACCAATTCCAGAAATACCCCTCATTGACACCTCTTGAAAATGGCAGTCATCAATACTATTATATCAGATATCGACATGGAAAATGTTATATTGTTTATCCCTTCGCTGCTCTTCCTCACCAAGGTGGTAAAGGTAAATTCTGATACGGATTCCGTTACATTTTCCTCACTGGAACTGAAAACTAGACCACAGCTTATAGTCATGAATAAACTTTCACCATAGCCAGGCCTTCCACTGAGGAACTCCTGCGAGAGAACCAAGAACCCGGCTCGTTTTGGCTGGGCTGAACACTAGCGCTGCATTTTTTTCGTACAGGTATAAGAGGGGTTGAACATTGGTGCAGGATATTTTACTGTTCAGCAGCTGCAAGGTTGAACAGGAACGGGACAGGACCAAAACAAAGATATCACACTTTCCAGAGTCCAGGGCATAGGACCAAATTCACTATATCTCAGTCCAACATTTCAAAATAAATTTGGGCCACTCTTGGGTGATTTAGCGATAACCTTAAAAGCCATAACATTTCAGTCTGGAGCTAAAAGGAGTCGAGCAATCACAATGATAGTCAAAATTAAATAGGAAAAAATAGACAAAAGAAAAACAAAAAAATTATATGATGAGAGAAATGAAACCTTTCACACAGCAAGAAGCTCCTTTTGACTATGTGTTATAATTTCAAGAAGAGTAACAATATTGCCTGAATGCTGAGACAGACTATTTTTCTAAAACATGCCAATAGGTTGGGGCGAAAGGTTTGTGAGGACAAAAAAAAAAATCCCTTCATCCTGCTCCAAAAATTCCGTCTTACTTATCAGAGAATCCTCCTTCCAGTCTATATTCCACTTCACCATTCAAGCCAGAATCTTTGTCCGAGGCCTGTTCAAAAAAAATAATTTTAGAGTTTAGAAAGCACTCAGGGGGCAGGGTTTCTCTTTTTTTATTTTTTTTACACCTGAGAGAGAGCTAATTCTGCTTGAACTAGCTGGTTCCACTCAACATCACAATCAAAATACAGAAAGCTACTTTTACTTCTTTCGGTGGAATGGGCCACACGTTATGAGGATTAATAAAGAGCAAAAGATCCTTCAGGGTGTAATAAGTTACAAAAAAAACTAGTGTAACCCTGGACTGCATCTGACTGTCATAAGGGCACAAGGATTGAACATTCAAAGTTATAAAAACCTCGAAAGAAACATCAAAATGAGAGAAAATTGGGACATTGTATTTATGACCCCTAAAAAAATTAAAAAATTAAGAACCAAAATATATCTAAAATTTCAGTAACCCTCAGATTTAAACAAGTGTTGATTATAATGCTAAAGAAAATGAAGGACCCAAAAGCAAGACATAGCTTCAGATTACAACACATTAATAATAGCATCTCTCAGTTATGTTTCCGCAATTTATACAGCGCCAACAGTACTAAACTGAAAGTTTCTAACGACTATGAGTTAAAAATATAAGAACCATAGCCAAGAACAATAACAGATAGGCCTCCTCTGTAAAACATAGATACCAAGTGCCACTTTAAAGTGTAACACAAAAATTGGGTCACAGCTCAGCACTAGTAAATGATCCACATAAAATACACAAACAAAACTAATATAATACTTACAAACACTCTTAGTAGAGGATATGGAAAGGTGTTCACACTTTCACTGACATTTGCACCATATGAAACCGCATTTAATATAGGAGTGTTGTCATTGAGATCCACAAGATTGATGACAACCTTTGTGGTGCTCGAGAATAGCTCAGCGGTTTTAAGTTCTCTGGCTTCCAGCTGTCAGGAGAGAGGAGAAATAATGGGTTGTTGTTTTAGTAAGGTTTAACAGCGCTCGCAACAGCATAAGGTCATATGAGCGCCAAGGGGTGGATGTCAACAGAGAAGTCCAAACCGGGGAAGCAGGCTTACTCTCCTCACCTCTCTAGCCTCAACAGCACAAAGTCTGCTTCGATTATCAAGGCACAAAGTCTGCTTCGACTATCAATGCACCCCCTAAATAGTAGTTCACAAGAGAGTGACAAATATACAAAAGAAGTAGAGGGAAAATGAGGATAGTAAGGATAAGGAAAAAAAAAGCAGCAGTTCCCCCATGTTGTTCCGGCACAGTATGAGCGTGACATTGATAAATCAGCCCATTTACAATTGCACTGTGCATAAGAATATGTTAATATGTTAACTCTTTCCACGCGTATCTCCGATATATCGGCGCGAGTCCACACCCTTCACGGACGTATCGCCGATATATCGGGTGTGATAGGATGCTTTAGTATTGTTTCGTTTTAATACGATCCGTCATTTATAATTACTTTTTGTTGTTATTGAAAAACTCAGAAAGGATTTAGGAAACGAAATTATCTAATTTCACTTTGGGAAAGCCTGGATTTGGGGAAAAACAAGTGAATTAGTTCTTGCGGTCTTGCATCAATAAAACGATGTAATCGGACTCAGTATAAATATCCTAACTCAAACAAAAATTGGAATATAGCTTTCAAATAAAAAGCTGTGCATTCAGAAATTTATGGATTATGCTCGTGGCCTGTATATGATAAGATAGCTATGCTGGTTTGCTTTTACATGTTTGGTGAATGTAATTTTTTCAGTCAAAATGTACTTTTCACGTCACCGTCGCCATTTCTAACCCTTCTAATGCATATTTATGTTCAAAATTCATCCTTGTTTTATATTGGCATGTATTCCTCATTCAATCTCCTTCAAATTGATATTTCATATGTTACGCTTGGAATGATGGTTATATGCTTCTATGAAGTTATTTTGTACACCACCAGCATAGCCAAAGCGAGCCACAGATTAATTATGTCTAGACCCCCAAAAAACTACATCCCCAGAAGAGTTAATATCCCCCCTTTGGGAATGCACCAAAGAAACTTCAGTTATTGGTAATGCCATGCAAGGTTATAAAGTGAATGCATCTCTACACACAAAAAATATGTATACAATACAGCTGCACTTTTATAACTTTTCCAATGTCATTCATTTTCTTAGCTATAATAGGAACATATTTTTTAGACAAAAGGGATCAAAAGAAAAGTCATGGCTAATCTAAGCAAACACTTTTATGACAAACCAAAGGTATGAGGAAACGACACAAGAAATCTCAGATGCAAAGACGACACAGCTCTCAAATCATAAACACTAGGTGGTCTCTAAGCTCTGATTCTACCAGTAAAAGAACACAGTGAAATAGAGGGCTCGTGTTAAACGTAAAGAAAGCTAAGATCTTAGAAACCAAACAAGACGCAGGTTGGAACCTCACATCACCTTAAACAACAAAGAAATGGGAAACAAAAACCATTTTGAGCATCAAGGAGCCAGGCTTGAACAAAACATCAGCTCCACAAAAGAAATAACAAGAATACTAAAGATGACAATAGCAAAAAGTGAATGTAGTAACTCGACACTGAAAATTGTACAGGCGTGTATGTTTAAAAGAGCCTCTTGCGGATGCAAAAGAAGAACCATCAACAAAACAGATGGAAAAAAGAATCAACTATATTGACCTGAACTGCTACAGAAAGACGTTGCGTATTCCCTCCACCAGTAACATGAAAAACACAATAATCCTATAAATATGAGGGAGACAAATAAAAAAAACAATGGACTCTTGAGTACAATAAAATTAAAAAACAGAAATATTTCAACCACATAAGGAGACACAGAAGTCCAGAAAAAGAACATAACGATATAAGAATCAGGGGGGGTGAGAGAGAGAGAGAGAGAGAGAGAGAGAGAGAGAGAGAGAGAGAGAGAGAGAGA